CCCAGGGAGGCTGTGGAGTCTCCATCCCTGCAGACATTCCAGCCCCACCTGGATGTGTTCCTGTGGGATCTGCTCTAGGAGATCCTGCTCTAGCAGGGTGTTTGGACTGGATTATCTCCAGAGGTACCTTCCAACCCCTACTGTTTTGTGACTCTGTTATATCTTCTGGTTCTGCTCATGGCTTCCTGTGCCTTGTTGCTGATGTTCTGGGCAGGACTGATCCAGTTTTGCCAACACAAGTTTGCTTGTTTCCAGAGACTTTGCTCCTGTAGTTATTTATTCACCTGGCTGAGTATTTTCCCCTGGGCTGATTTTTACTTTTTCTCAGCTGTCCCTCTACAGTCATGCCTCACCCTGGAGACAAACACTAGAGCAGGCTTCCCTGGCTTTGGAATATCTGGCTTTCCATGATCTGGCACAATTTTGGCTCTGAAGGGAGGGTGTGTTTTCCATTTTTGGAGGATGGAAAGATTTGGCCAGTGTAGCTTTTGGAAGCAGAATAGTTATTTCACAAGGTCAGTTATTGTGAAATAACTATCCGGGGCTGGATTGCAGCAGTAGGAGTGGTGGGCTTTTTTACTGTCATGTCTTAAAAGTCCTAAGTCTGTACAGGTTGGTGACAGCTCCCCAAGAGTGAGACCTCAGGCCTCTGAGGTGGGTGATTTGGTGCATCTGGATGCTGTTTAGTGCCACATCTCTGGAGCAGGTTCTAGCTTAGTCCTTCAATGCTGAAGAAACTGGTGTCTTAACAATTGTATCTTTGGTCATGGGAGAAAATGCCTAGAAATTGTAGTGGTGAGTGGTGGAATGAAAATCGGGTGGGAGGATCAAATCTGTCCATCTTCAGACTGGGGGAATGGTCTAGGAGCTGAGATGGCACTTGTGAATTGTGCTGCTGTATTGATGTTCAGCAGAGCATTTGTGGCCCTTTTTTCAGACATGGATATATTGAATGATAGAATAATTTTTGTTGGAAAAGACCTTTAAGGTCACCAAGCCCAACCATTAACCCAGCCCTGCCAAGGCCACCACTGCCCCATGTCCCTCAGCACCACATCTACAGGGCTTGGAAACCCCTCCAGGGATGGGGACTCCAGCCCTGCCCTGGGCAGACTGGGCCAGGGTCTGACAACCCTTTTGGGGAAGAAGTTTCTCCTCATGTCCCACCTCAACCTGCCCTGGCACAACTTGGTGCCTTTTCCTCTTGTCCCATTCCTTGTTCCTGGGGAGCAGAGCCCGACCCCCCTGGCTCCAACCTCCTCTCAGGCAGCTGCAGAGCCCGAAGGTCTCCCCTCACCTCCTGGTCTCCAGGCTGGACACCCCCAGCTCCCTCAGCTCCTCACACTTGTGCTCCAGCCCCTTCCCCAGCACAGGAAAGTGGAACATAAACCCCACATGAAGGAAGGTTTTCCTTGCTCTGAATCACCAACACTGTGTCAGGCTTGTGTTGTGACATGAATTACGAATGCAGGTGGGTGCAGTGCAGCTGGAGAGCTCAGTGACATTTTGCAGCACCTTGACTTCCCCTGGGAAATCTCTTCTTTCCATCTTGATGGTGGGTTTGGTGACTGCTGAAATGGCTGGGGAGGTAGTTGAAGTCTAACATTGTAATGGTTCATCTGAAATGGCTTTGGAGTTTGGAGTCATAGAATCATAGAATCATAGAATCTTAGGGGCTGGAAGGGACCTCGAGAGATCATCTAGTCCAACCCCCCTGCCAGAGCAGGGTCACCTAGAGTACATCACACAGGAACTCATCCAGGTGGGTTTTGAATGTCTCCAGTGAGGGAGACTCCACAACCTCCCTGGGCAGTCTGTTCCAGTGCTCTGTCACTCTCACAGTAAAAAAATTTTTTCGGATATTCACCTTGAACCTCCTATGCTCCAATTTACACCCATTAAGATGTTCCACTCCCTTCATCATCTTCGTAGCTCTGCGCTGGACTCTTTCGAGCAGTTCCCTGTCCTTTTTGAACTGAGGGGCCCAGAACTGGACACAATACTCCAGATGTGGCCTCACCAATGCAGAATAGAGGGGGAGGAGAACCTCTCTTGACCTACTAACCACACCCTTTCTAATGCACCCCAGGATGCCATTGGCCTTCTTGGCCACAAGGGCACATTGCTGGCTCATGGTCATCCTCCTGTCTACCAGGACCCCCAGGTCTCTTTCACCTACACTACTCTCCAGCAGTTCAGCCCCCAACCTGTACTGGGACATGGTGTTGTTCTTCCCCAAATGTAAAACTCTACACTTCCCCTTGTTGAACTTCATCATGTTTCTCCCTGCCCAATTCTCCATCCTATCTAAGTCTCATTGCTTAAGCTTATTCAGACCACTCTGTAAATACTGATGTGTGTAAAATTTATGGGAATTAATCTGCATACTTGTTTAGCAACTGTCTGGTTACCTATTGATTATTGGTGATGCAAACTAAAAATGGAAGAAATAATTTAGGGATAGTATTAGGAATAAATTCCTCACTGTGAGGGTGGTGAGAGCCTGGCCCAGGTTGCCCAGGGAAGCTGTGGCTGCCCCATCCCTGGCAGTGTTGAAGGGCAGGTTGGATGGGGCTTGGAGCAACCTGGGCTGGTGGGAGGGGTCCCTGGCCATACAGGGGGTTGGAACTGGATGATCTTGAAGGTCCCTTCCAACCCAAACCATTCTTAGATACCATGATACTTTCATCTGAGAGAAGTGCATTCAAGAGAAAATGGTGTCAGTTTATCTTCTCTAGATGTTAAAAAAATGTTTGAAGATTTCATGTCCAGAGAGGTTTTACCATGTAGAAGGTTTAATGCATGGCAAGGTAATGTGGTCAGGAAGAATGGTAACTGAGTTATATGGCTTAAAGAAACTACCTGCAAGTTGTCTTTTTAGAATTGAAAAAAACCCCCACCTCATCAATTGGTTGACCTGCAGCAGGGACAATGTAAACATGCAAAGAAACCTTCTGGTCCTCAAGAGGGCAAAACTGGCTGTCAAATGTAAGCAGAATATAAATGGACATAGTGACATTCTGGCACTAAAACAATAGTTAAGTGTTAGTTATTTTGATCCTCAGCATGGCTGAGGTGCACCCCCACCAGAAATGACCATTTAAATGCATTTTCAAAAAAATTCTGCTGCTGGGAAATTTAACAGAAATACTGACTTCCTGACTTGATTTTAAAAAGTGAGATTACATCCAAAATAATCTGACCTTGGTTTTTTTTCCCCTAGTTCCATTGTTAAGGATAAATGAAGTGATAGTAATCTTTTTACTAGAGTACTTAATTGCCATGAATTTCCTTGGCTAGACTTCTGAAGTCAAATGAACCTCAGTGTGTTTTTGGAAAGCTTTAGAATAGTCCCCTAAAAGAAGAAATGTTTGTCTTCAAGCAGAACTTGTTGCAGGAGATGCTGTGGGGCATCATCTCCCAGGACCTGGGGTCATGCAGCTGATCACTGGATCCCTGGGTTGGTTTCAGTGTGGTTTCAGCTGAGGCTCAGTAGCTCCAGGTGTATCATCTGCAGTCATCAGTGCTCACAGGGGGCAGAGGAGGTGTGAACCAGCTCCTGGAATAGGGGACTTGGAACTTAATTAAGTTTTTTACTACAAGGATGGTGAGAGCCTGGCCCAGGTTGCCCAGGGAAGCTGTGGCTGCCCCATCCCTGGCAGTGTTGAAGGGCAGGTTGGATGGGGCTTGGAGCAACCTGGGCTGGTGGGAGGTGTCCCTGCCCATGCAGGGGGTTGGATCTGGATGATCTTGAAGGTCCCTTCCAACCCAAACCAGTCTGTGATCTACCTGCTATGACGACTGCTGAGGAACATCTGTGTTTCTTGCTTTGTGTTGGCTGGTGCAGAGCAAGGACTGCTGGAGGCTGGGTTTGCCATGCAGGAGGATGTGAGGGTGCCACCTTGCTGAGTACCTGAGGCTTCATGTGGGGGAGATAAGAGTCCAGTTGTAATCAAGGCACTCTCTTAATCAGACACTTACTCAGTTTGTGAAGTCCTGAAGGACCTTTCTCCTGGGAACAGGAGGACTTTATGCTGCTGTGGACCAAGATACCACAACTTCGATTCACTTGCTGGTTGAGATGAGCTTTGCCCTTTATGAAAGGGATTTCCATTTAAATACAGAATGATGTAAAAATCCTCAGGGCTTGAAAGGCAATGTGGTCCCACAGTGGCCTTGTTTGCAGAACCTCCAGCATGTCCTGCCAACACATGACTCACAGACCTGCCTCTTGACTGACTCTGTGTGTGTTTGTTTGAAGTGCTGTTCTGATCTGCTGCTCTTGTGGGCAGAAGAGGGATTTTTAGCCTTTTTTTTTTGCATAAGATGTGTGTATTTTTGGAAGGAGTGGGTTTATTTGTGCAGCACACGCCGGAGGGTTTGAGCACCAGCTCCTGTTCCCTACATGTCAAGTGCTCCTGAACAGGAGCCTTCTTGAGGAATAGAACTATTTTTTTTTTTCCCTCTTGCTTTCACCCAAACAACTGTAAGAGATTGGAAAGAAGCACCACTTTCCTGAAAGGTTTTCACATAAGCAAGTTTCTCCTGTCCTGTGACTGGATGATATTAGTGAGAACATGTGACAGGCTGTGTGCTTTTTGGCTCTGACCTGTGCAGCCATATTAAAGATATCCTGTTTATAATAGCCCTGTCTTTCCACTGCATTGTTCAGCTGGAGGCAGCCCACATGGCTTTTCATTTGGAGGTATTGTCCTTAGCTCCCTGTCCTTCCTCTCCTGCCAGCATGAGGGGATTTCAGACGGATCCTCTGGCTCCAAGCAGCACGATCTATATTTGCCCCATGGTCAGTAACTTTTTTACCATGTAGTCACAAAAAGGGTGCTGCTTTAACTGCTCTTTTTTTTTTTTTTCTGGACTGAAAAGACATGGCTTTTATTTTTAAGCTGAGTTTAAAACCAAAGCAAACCAGCTTTTTCTTTGGACAATGAAGTGGTGATGAAGTTGGGTTGCAGAAAGCTGGGCTGCTTTCCTTGGTGAGCACTGGGACATCCCTGCTGTCCTCCTGCACACTAGAATCAATGCAGCTGATTCAGATCTATTCTCTTTGAGCCCACAACCATTCCCAGGGTCACACATGCAGTTTTCTTGGTATCAGGTTAGATATGCTCTGCAGCCTGCTGTGAGATCAGGCCTGGAGCATCATCTTTCTACCTGGAGAGCAAACTCCTCTCCTCTGGCAGGGAGAGCAAGGAGGGTTTTGGTTTTGTTTTGTTTTGTTTTTTTTTTGCAAGAACAAGAGAGTTCCTGAAACCTTCCAGCTGAACTCCAAACCTTTTTCTGAGTAAAGGGGACAGAATAGTGGATTTTCTACTCAATTACAAATTGTGTTCCATCTTCTCTTTGTCAGAAAAAAATCGAAAAGCAAAAAACCCCAAGCCCTAGGCATTGTTACATATAAATTTAGTTGGATCTAGGTTGGATTGTACACATGGTCCTTTTCATTATCTATTCCTGCTTCTGGTACTTATTATTCTAGCCTTTTTTTTTCCCCTTTTAATTTAAAATTAGGTAATTGCTCTGAGGCTATAAACTCTTATCTTCATCACAGGAAGTCTTAGTTTGCATTAATTACCTTGAATTGAAGCAGTGAGGCAACTGAGTTTTAACTGTCTTTAGGGTGAACTTGAGGTTGAACTGAACTTGTCTTCAGTGTTTTTCTTAATCCATATTAAAATGTCTTTTTTTTTTCCACTGTAAACTCTCCATATGTTTAATTTTCATATGCTCCTTGCACTCTGAGGCTCTTATTCTATTATTTGCTTCCAACTGTAGTAGAAATTGTTTGAATGGAGCAAGTTGTGGACTCTTACATGGAGTCTATGCCAGCTTGAAAACATCAAATCACTGTTCTGCATATGCAGACACCTCCATCCAGTAATGGTTGCATTCATCCTAACTGTTGGAATGCTTGGATTGATTCAAGAGACAATGGGACTTCAAATCTCTGCTCAGTATGTATTTTAATCTCTTTTTCAGGAAGCAAGAAGAAGGAAAAGGAAAGGCCAGAAATCTCCCCCCCATCAGATTTTGAACATACCATCCATGTTGGCTTTGATGCTGTGACTGGAGAGTTCACTGTAAGTACACCTGCCTGGTGGGGCTGTGCTGCAGTGAAGCTGTTGGGGTGTTTAAGGGTGAAGTGTGAGCTAGTCTGTTCATTTTCCTCAAAGAAGCAATTTTAGTGTGTGTTTGTACAGCCTGTGGAGTGATGAGACTGGGACCTCTTAGTGCTTCTGCACTTCTGCTGAAGTGCTTCAGCAGTTAGATCTGCTGCTTTGTGTCACCTGGGAGGGCCTTCCTGGAGAAACCCTCTGTCATTAGTGGGTAACACTGCTTCAGTTGGGTGCTTTTGTGTTCCTTTTCCTTACCTCTGACTTAATACATCTGGAAGAGTTGAGTGGTGTGTGGGCACAAGGAGCTGGAGCCACTGAGTGCTTGGGATACTGAGCAGCCAGGAGGGATTTCAGCTGTAGCTTGATGTGTGTTCTGTTCTCTGGACATGCAGCTCCTTGTTATAACCCCACATTACCTGTTTATGTGTTTAAGGCTGCAATGCTTTTGATAAAGAAATTTGTTCTGTTTTTTGCCAATCTTTCAAATCCTAGAAAGGTGCTTAAAATAGCCTGTCATTTCAGGGAATGCCAGAGCAATGGGCTCGGTTGCTGCAGACCTCAAATATCACAAAACTAGAACAGAAGAAGAACCCCCAGGCGGTACTAGATGTGCTGAAATTCTATGACTCCAAAGACACAGCAAAACAGAAGTATCTGAGTTTTTCTGCTCCAGGTGAGCTTCAAGTGTGTGCAAGGGGATGTTGGAAGGGGAGCTGGGTATTTGGAACATAGTCTTTCTCTGTTTTAGAATAGTAAATCACATTCAGATGTTGGAAGAGCAAGTTTTGCTTTTCAATCAGGAACAAATATTCAAAGATGGATTTAAAACTTACTAGGAACTGGTGTTGTACCATTGGTTTCCTGTTTTAAGCAGAGAGGGGAAAGGATAATTCAAAAGAGCAGCCAAAATGAACTTCAACAAGCTGTGTTTACAAAGCTCTGAGACTGATTAATTGGTTTTGTGCTGCAGTCCTTGGTTCTGTCTGTGGCCAAAACAACTATCTGTGAACTGTGAACAAAGATGCAAAATAAGTTGTGGCTCCTGGGTTGGGAGCTTTGTTGGGAGGCTGAGAGGATGGTTGCCCTACAGACATGCAGTTTTATCTAGTTTTATTCCAAATTATTGCTGAAAATAGCAATTAGTAATAGCAGTAAGACTTGGTAATAATCTCATCCTTGATTCAAGGTACCACTAAGGGAACAGAAATACCATTTAGTCCTGATTTCACAGCCCAGTAAGACAGAGCACAAGGGTGATGAGCAGTGCTCCATTTGGCAGACTTTGGGTACTCAAGGGAGGTGAAGAGCAAGTTGGGAAACAGTGGGTTTGACTGCCCTTAGGAGAGGATTTTAGAAACTTAAGTTCCTTCTGCATGATCTTACAGCAATATACTGGTTCCTCTCATTTTTGACTGTGAAGTTTTGCTTTCTGAGAGGTGAAAAAAGTCTCCAGAGTCATCTGTGTTCTCTGTAAAGTTCACTTTTTTATGATTTTTCTGATGATTTTATATATTCTGCTGTTTGTCCTATTTAGAAAAAGATGGATTCCCTTCAGGAACACCAACGGTGAGTGGGTTTTAATATTCTTTGTATCTTCTTGTATATTCAGGTGTTCTGTATTTATTATACACTGAATCTTGTAGTATAAAACAGAGGGTGTTTTTTGTGGGATAAAAACATCAACTGAGGGGACAACAGGGCATATTTCAATGGAGTGACAATATATTAGTCTTGTAATAAAATGTAAGAGGGCTCTTAAGCCACTCAATGTATCCTTTGTTTTCAACATCACTAAGAATGTTTATCTTCATGTGGGAGACAATTTTGTTTACTACTATTCTTTTTTCTTTGGTCAAAAATGTAGAGCAATGCCAAAGGTTCAGAGCCATCAACAGCTGTGGCAGATGATGATGAGGATGATGAAGAAACTCCTCCTCCTGTTATTGCTCCACGACCAGATCACACGAAATCGGTGAGCAGCTGGGAAATGTACAGAGCAGACCTGCATTCCACTTGTTCTGCTTTCTAGCAAATAGTTTGATTTGTGACATGAGCTGGGTTGTTGGGAGGTTTTTTTGAGTTTGCTAAGAAAAAGCCTAATTTCTGGATACCAGTTGGATCAGAAATCCTGAAGTTGATGGTCATTTGCTTATTGGCTTATGTTAGACACCCATCTATGCTTATCCTTCCACCCCTACCTGCAAGGAGGAGGCTTGTTAGTCCTAAAAAAATACAGCTATTTTCTGTACCTTTCCTACAAGTGTAGGGCATTTAATTTTCTTTATTTGATGGTGAACTGATAGTCTTACCAAATATATTCCCTTAGACCCAAAACTATTAATTTAAAATTTGGAAGCTTATTTAACTCACAAACTCATAAGCATTACATTAAATGCTGAAGAAGTTGGCGTTTAAGTTTGTTGTAGTAGTCCAGAACTACACACCTTGTCAATAATGTCTCCAGCTCATTCTTTTGACCCTTTGTCCATTTTGCAGCTCTGCCCATTTCCTCTTGCCTCAGAAGCACAAATGTGAATTGTGTCTCTTTTTTAAGTGATGCTGCTGTATAATTGGCCACTAAACATGTCAAATGTGACAGGTCTACAGTGGGATGTTTCTAGGGTAGCTGTGGATGTCTCTGAACATCCGCATGAATTTTTAAGGAGGAAATTAAGTAAAGCTCAAAGAAAAATCCCCAAAATTGGAGGTGGCTGGGCAATTCCAAGAGTCTCATGGTGAAGGAGGAATCTTTTTTTTCCCTTTTGATCTTAGTTGATCTCACTATTGAAGAGTGACTCCTGTTCTGTGCAACTTGGAAATGGCAGAAATGAAGTAAACAGATGAAAGGGCCCCTCCTGTTAATTAGAAAGATGAAGCAGGTAGAAAACCCCTCAAAAGTGGGGAAATTAAGAGTTCGTTTCCTAGCATCTCTGCTCAGGAGATGCCTGGATCGTTGTTTCAGAGGTCAGCAAGGTTGACAGCATCACTTGCTGGACTTTGCTGTTTCTCAGCTCTAATTTCTGCCTCCAGCCTCTCAGGCAGATCAGTGCTTAGGGATCTTGGAAGAAGTGATTTGTTTTCAGCTGCAGGTCAATGACTGCAAAGGTGGATGGTCTCTCCTAACAGATTTATACCCGGTCTGTGATTGACCCCATCCCTGCATCAGCCGGTGACACTTCTGTTGACAGCGCAGCAAAATCGGGTGATAAGCAGAAGAAGAAGACCAAAATGTCAGATGAAGAGATCATGGATAAACTACGTAGGTGGTTTTTATTTCAGAGAAACAAAGGCTGTAGGACTGGGGGGAGGAATATGAAGCTTTTGCCCTCATCCCTTGGTTTTGTGGAAGGGTTGTGTGATGGTTGTGCTTATCATAGAATGATTTGGGTTGGAAGGGACCTTCAAGATCATCCAGTTCCAACCCCCTGCATGGGCAGGGACACCTCCCACCAGCCCAGGTTGCTCCAAGCCCCATCCAACCTGCCCTTCAACACTGCCAGGGATGGGGCAGCCACAGCTTCCCTGGGCAACCTGGGCCAGGCTCTCACCACCCTCACACTCCACAATTCCCTCCTCATGTCTCACCTCAATCTCCCCTCTTCCAGTTTTCATCCCTTCCCCCTTGTCCTCTCCCTCCCTGCCCTTGTCCCAAGTTCCTCCCCAGCTTTCCTTGGGCCCCTTCAGGCCCTGGAAGGTGCTCTAAGGTCTCCCTGGAGCCTTCTCTTTTCTAGGCTGAACACCCCAACTCTCATCCTGTCTTCATAGTCTGTCTTGATTGATGCTGTGTCAGACAGTAGCTGAGAGAGCTGCATTATGAAGTTTTTCCTATTTTTATGCTTCAGAACCCATTTGGGTAAAAAAAATAAAACTAGAACTTTTTTTTAATTGAAGTTCAGTTGTGATAGCCTGCATCTGCATGTATAATGCAACCATAATAACAAAAACTGGTTACTTGTTCTATAATCAACTTGAAGCTCATTTTTCAGGATATTAATGTTTCTGTGCTTAAGTAGAGAACTAACTAGTTTCTGGATTAGGCTAAGTTAATGGCTTTGTCATAACTTCATACTGGGTTTTGGTGCACAGGGGACTATCAGTAAATTGAGATACTAGGGGAAATAACACAATATGGCTCATTAGAAGAACTTAATGGTTGGCTGAAATTGGGCCACTTGCAACTGGAACTGACTCTGGAAGCTTTGTGCATCAGCCTTTCCTACTTGAGTTGACCCACTCTTGAAGGTATCTACTACACAGAGGGATTGACTTTGTTGTTTCGGTTTGTTTTTCCCAGGCACGATTGTGAGCATAGGAGATCCCAAGAAAAAATACACCAGATATGAAAAAATTGGGCAAGGGTAAGTGTTCACCCCCACCTTTACTCTCAGTGTTCAGAGCAGTGGACTGGTCTCTGGTGCTGTTGTGTAGCTGCTGCCAGCTGAAGCAGGCAGAAATGTTGGGTAAATAGATATTGAAAACTGTACAGAGTGGTGGAAATCTTGCATTGTGTCTTTTACTGCAAAAGTAGAGCTCTGTAACTTCTCTCTGGGTGTATCTATCTAGTCCTCTCCTGCCCTGTAAGATGCATTCACCTGTGTTGTAATGTGACTGTTGAATAGTATGAGGGCGCTTCAGAGGGTTCTCTGTGTCCCAACCTAACAGGGCTGCCTAGACTAAGTTATCCCTTGGGCTCAGGCATCCTGAATTGAGTTCAGGAGGCACTGCTGTTGTCAGATGAGAGCATGAGAAGTTTGCTTGGTGGGAACTGACTGGCATCTGTGTGATGCCACTTACTTTGAATAGCCTTCTTTTTGCTAAAGCTCTTGCAACATTGAAAGCTGCCATGATTCTGTGTTTGTGATTTGTCTATTAAGCTGCATGTTTGTTACACAAGAGAAGATGCAACTGACTGCAACATTTTCTTCCCAGGGCTTCAGGTACAGTTTTCACCGCTATTGATGTGGCAACAGGGCAGGAGGTAAGATTTCTGTGTTCATTGCTTTTCAGTATAAGTATTTTTCTCTATCTGGGAAGAATGAATGAACTGGATTTCTTTCTGTGGTTCCCATCTCTGATATCACCTCTTAGAATTATGTTTGTCATAGTAATTGTAACAGTCTGTGCCTTGTTCTGTAATAATCAGATGATGAAAGCTACAAATAGAGTTGTGTCTTTCCAGTGAAAAGCAGAGGGAGTGAGGTGTTCCGGAAATGGGGTTTGGAAACAGTTTATCTTTCAATAATTGTGTCTTTGCACACTTGTTTTCTAGTCCTGTCTCAGTAGGGGGTTCACTTTTCACTGTATGAAGAATGAACAATAGGTTTTGATCCTGTGGTTTGAGTGATTGCTGTTTTATTTTGCCCTGTGCAGGTTGCTATTAAACAAATAAACCTTCAGAAACAGCCCAAGAAGGAGTTGATAATTAATGAGATCTTGGTAATGAAGGAGTTAAAGAACCCCAACATAGTCAACTTCCTGGACAGGTAAATGCAGACAGCTAATTCCTTTATTCCCAAGGGTTTCAAGAGGTTATAACTTGATATACTTACACAGACCAGGGCTTCCTCTGCCCAAGGGTCTTGCAAGCAAATGAAACTGTATTTTTTATATTATAAAATCATCTGTTATAGGGGATGGTCTTGAGGATTCAGTAAGAAGGCTGCTGCTGTCATGAAGGCAGTGATGTGTGTGGCTCTCAGATACAAACTCTTTTTACTGTTTATCTTAAGGTGCTTATGAACCGTTTCCTTGACCAGCTCTCACCAGACGTTTTCCAGTTCTCAGTCTCTTGGTGGCAAACGGGCCTGCTTTGTGTTTTCTGTTTGTAGTTACCTCGTAGGAGATGAGTTGTTTGTGGTGATGGAGTATCTAGCTGGAGGTTCACTAACAGATGTGGTCACAGAAACATGTATGGATGAAGCACAGATTGCTGCTGTTTGCAGAGAGGTGAGTAGGAGGTGATGGAGAGAGGAATGAAGGTGCATTTTGTTCCCCTGGGTTTTATGCTCTCCTTAGGTCAGAACTAATTGCAGCCACTGCTGGTGGAGCCATTGGGTTAAGAAGAATGAATGACACCGAGAGCAGAACCCAATATTAAAATTACATAAAACAGCAAAATGAGTTTAACTCAGAAAATGAGGGGTTTGCAATTTATGACATAACTTAGATGCTGGAAGGAATGTCTTTTAAATTAGACTAAAAAAGAATATTCAAAGGCACCAAGAAGAAAACTTAGTGTTCATATATAGGTAAGCTAGACAGTAGAGGTGGGAATATATTTAAAAAATAAGGAAAAGGAAAAAATCCTGAAAGCTTTGGAGTGTTTTCCAGAAGAAAGAAGGGGAGCTGTGTTTGCTGACAGTGTGAAAGTGGGGTGATGAAACAGGAATACTTTTAAGAAACATGTACTAAAATAAAGGTGCACTTGAAGCAGACTATCTCTTTCTCCTTCTATTAGTGGGTGAAATCTATAGTTCTGTACCAGCTAAGCTTTCTTTATGGCTTTCTCAGAACAAATAATTCTCCAGAAGTTTGCAGTTGGAATAATTGAAAGATTCCAGTAAGATTTCAAGTTGGAAGAGTTAAAAACTGCTGACAAGGCAACTTCCCGGTGGTTTCTGCCTCGAGTCAGAGTGTTGGCATCCAGCTCAGGCTTGATTTATGATGGCAGAGGGAGAAGTAATTGTATTATCTGCTGTGCAGGAGAAATGTAGGCTTTTTCAAACCCTATTTGACTCCATCAACATGACATCTGCTTTTGGTGACTCACCCAAAGGGAGGGGATGTTAACATGCCTGGACAGGTAGTGGTTTCTAGAGAAACCAGTGCTGGAAGCAGAGAGCTGAAAGTAACTATATATTGTAACAGTAATTAACCTTCCTGAGGGAAAAATATAATAGTGAACTGTTGTGCCTCATCAAAACTCTGCTGCCCAGTAGGTTAGATAAGCTTTGTGCTGCAAATCCTTGCTAAAGCAAACCCAAAACACACAAACCCACTGGAGGCCACATCCAAGTTGCAAGTGATAAATGTTCTGTTTCTACTAAAAGAGAAACAAATCTTGGGGGTTTTTGCCTGTTATTCTCAAATAGTAAAAGTAAATTTCCTGATGTTTTTAGGGAGAAACTTAGGGTGAAAGCTTTTAATCTAAAACTAGTACTAGTGACTTTCATCAGGAAGGTGTTTTGCAGCCTTCACTGTAGGAGAAGCTGCATGTGTGTTGGGAATGAAGTGTCACCAGTTTCTCTTGGTGAGACTCCAGGCAGAAAAGCTCTCACTTAATCCTTTATGGTTCCTCTGGAGAATCTGGAATGCATCATAATTAACATCTGGGACTTCTGAGAGCATCTTGGGTGATGTGGAGTTTAATTTATGGGTTTGTTAACAGAGAAACTCCATGGTTAGATGATTTTTGACCTGATGAGATCTGGGGAGGTGTTGTTTTTTTTTTCTAGCACAAGAGCTTCCTCTGCTGGTTATTTTAAATAATACTTGTTGTTTTCCACTCGGCACTAGCTGAGGGTGTATGTTGCTTTTGAATTTGTATTCAGATACAGAGATTGTGTTTCCATATGCTGACCTGTTTTTTTTCTTTCTCCCATCCAGTGCTTGCAAGCCCTTGAATTCCTACATGCCAACCAGGTCATCCACAGAGACATTAAGAGTGACAATGTGCTGTTAGGAATGGATGGATCAGTTAAACTAAGTGAGTACCAGCCAATTGTTTCAATATTCCCTTTTTCCTTGCCCAGTATGACTTGATGAGTGAAAATCAGTTGAATGAGAAGAGTTGGCAAAGAAATGTTGAGGTGAATTTTTATCAACCAAGTAATAGAAATTCATTCTGGGTTATAAAATGTCAAAGTCATGGGTAACAGATGCTGAAATTCTGAGGGCCCTGAGACTGTGAACAGGCAGGATGTTGAAACAAACCTGTTGCCACAGGAAGATGTTGGTAAATGTGAAGTAACTGGCACCATCCAGTGAAGCAAAGACATCACTGATTGCAAGAGAATGTTGCAGCTGTAACTGCAGTTGCTATTTTAGTCTCTTCAAATTGTGCTGACTAGCTTCTAATGTTTTGCCCTTTTCATTGGAAGGTCATTAAGAAGAAAATTGCACATTATTAACTATTTATATTGCAGTCTAGCCTTATGCTGCATCTATACTGAGTCTTCTTTTCTTGGACTGAAAGTGTAACGTGCTTTCATTAATATAGTCATGAAATGGCAAAAGAAACTACTTGCTTTTGAGGTAATTTTTATGCATGCATGGGCTTGCATGCAGCAAGTTAGTTTCTGGTGTGTGTAAATGTGTTTGGCAGGAAAAAAAATGTGAAACCACTTGAAGAAGCTGCCAGGATTGTTGAGAGAGAGAGGTGCATTATCTGATTTCATGGTATGTAGGAATGTGCAAAGCATAAAGTGACCAAAGAGTTAAGGAGTGGTGATTTTTACAGTTGGGTAGGGATTGGAAATGTCATGAAAATGTATCTTGGCCATATTCCTTAGAGTAGATGGTTTGCAGTTTGTGGATGAGATGGAGTGTGAAGGAAGATGAGAAGGAACTTGATTTGCTCCCCAGCATTATTGGATGCACCACTTGCTCACATAGGAGAGGTTTGGGGTTTTTTTAAGGATGTGATGTGTTTGTGCACAAGCTGGGTGGACTCAGAGGCTGAAGGTAAGTGAAACAGTTACAGCACAGGATGTGGCTGAGAGGAGCTAGCTGGAGAAGGCTCTAAAGTTAAGAGCTGTCAAAGCAAAGCAGAATAGCAAAAGGTTTAGCAGCCTATGGAAAGAGGCATCAGCCCCTGGAGGTCTTTGGGGAAGCATGAGAAGGCTGGAGAAAACAAGAGTCAGCTGTAAAGATGTCTTCTATGAAGGGGAGGTACTGTGATCAGTGCTGAGACTAGCTCCTCTTTGGCTGTGTGCTTGTCAAGTTTCTAGCAGTTGTTGAGGGCACAGAGTAGAAGAAGTTGCACCTTCTTTTTCAACCTGTGCCCCTTCTCTGAGGGACTCTGGCTCTGGGACCTGGTGACAGGAGATGGATGAGCTCCCAGGCTGTCACCACCACAGGCCTCCAGACACTGCTGGCTGGTGAAATTGCATCCTACCTCTTGCCTGTCTTCTCTCCTGGTGGTGGCATGGTGCTGGAGGCCTTGCTGGTAGGTCAGCAGAGACACAACTGCTGCTCCTCTGGTGTCCTCACTGAAATCAGCTGTGCTTTGAGTGGAGCCTGGCACTTGGATAAAGGCCAAGAAGTGCTGGTGAGGAGCTCAGTGACTCCCTTAGGTTGGATTGCTTGGGTTTTTTATCTTTTTAAGGCAGCATTTTGACAATCAGGGTGGGGGTAGCTCTTTGTTACATTGTCCTCTTAGTACATCTGAGCACTTCCAGGACTCTCTTGTCAGCTCTGTGTGGCGTAACACTTTCCAAATCAACTTGCAATTTTAAATTCTCTCTTTCTCTCTCTCTTTCTCTCTCAAACTTAGTGTCAATGATAAGGTAATATCTGTCTCCCGCCTTAACTGTGTTCTTATTGATGCTTTACATGCCTGGGAAGTGGGAGTGCTGCAGCTGGATAAAGTAACATGATGGAACATGCATTGCTGCTGCACCTGAAGGCTATAGGAATAGGTGACTTTTCTTGTTTTCTTCAGTGTGGTTGTTCTCTTCAGTAGTTACCTTGTGGAAAGGTTTGTTTGTCCAGGCTCCTTCTGCTGAGTAGCACTTCACTTACCTGAAGCCTTGTTTCCGTGTCTCTGTCAGCTGTAGTACCTGTATTTGGTGGCCACATTGCTGTGAGATGTTGACCTCAATAGCCACCCAAACCAAACCTGTTTAGCAGGGCAGAAGCCATGGTTTGTGGACTGATGTTTTCGAGTTCAGCCGGTGTTAATTCACCATGCACACAACACTTGCCTTCTGTGTGCTGCTTGACGAGGTTTCTTTTGGCTGATACCAGTCTAGGATTCTTGAAGGAAGGACTGGGCAAAATGTCATTCTTCTGCAGGGTGATACTTGAGTGTCCCTTGTCCAGAGGACAGAAAAAGCCTTGTCTTCATTCCACAGAAGTCTGCCCTGCTCAAACACTGCCAAGTTTTGTATCTTTATCTTGCACGTTGGATTTTGAGAATGTAGGGGAGGGGGAGGAGGGGGGAAAAAAAGACACCCCCCCCATACCTCTCAAATGTAGAGGAATAAAATATATGTCATAATAGAGTCTCCTAGGAAGGGCACTTCCCTGGGGTGCAGGAATTTAACTGTGTCCCAATTCTGTTGTCCCGCAGCCGACTTTGGTTTCTGTGCTCAGATCACCCCCGAGCAGAGCAAGCGCAGCACCATGGTTGGAACTCCTTACTGGATGGCTCCTGAAGTGGTCACAAGGAAAGCATATGGCCCTAAAGTGGACATCTGGTCTCTGGGCATCATGGCCATTGAGATGGTGGAAGGAGAACCTCCTTACCTCAATGAAAATCCCCTGAGGGTAAGAAGCCCGTGACGTGGTCAGTGCTGCTTGTGGGTGTTTGCCGTGGGAATGTTGTCAGGAATTGTTCATTCCCAGTATCTGCAGTATAAAGAAAATGAAATGGGAGAGCTAAGGAGCCAAGAAAATTGCTCCAGAAAGAAGACAGCTGTCTTGAGTTTGCAGTCAGCTGTACCCTGATTTTTTCTGTTTAGAAGATCAGTACTTGCTTGTAACCGAGACACAGAACTTTGAACTTAGTCTTCTGTGATAGTTTAGAATCCCAGATTGGTTTGGGTTGGAAGGGACCCTAAAGATCATCTAGTTCCAACCCCCTGCATGGGCAGGGACACCTCCCACCAGCCCAGGCTGCTCCAAGCCCCATCCAACCTGCCCTTCAACACTGCCAGGGATGGGGCAGCCACAGCTTCCCTGGGCAACCTGGGCCAGGCTCTCACCACCCTCACAGCAAAGAATTTCCTCCTAAAAGTTTAGGCAAATTAGATCCAATAGGTTATAAAAAATGCTGCATGTGTCAGAATCTGCTCTTTTTCTGCCAAGGTAAGTATCTGTGTCCAAAAGATTTTGAGTGTCACTTTGATATTGGCAAGAACAGGTCATGACTGCCTGTAATTGTGGCATTTTAACAGATTTTCATCTCCTCAGGGAGAGAAGAATTAGGTTGCAGAGCCCTTTCTCACCTAGACTGAGGGATTGCCACTGGGCAGGTCAGTTTGGCATCTTCTTTTAAAGACCTGGCTTGATGATACAACAATATTCCTCATTTCCAGGCATTGTATTTGATAGCAACTAATGGCACACCAGAGCTGCAGAACCCTGAGAAACTGTCCCCAATATTCCGGGATTTCTTGAATCGATGTTTGGAGATGGATGTAGAGAAAAGAGGATCAGCCAAAGAATTGCTACAGGTGAGTGTCAGCTTCTTCTCACAGGTACAGGAGCCATGAGTGAGGTCAACCTGTGAGAAACCACTGGAGGCTGGTACCTGCTTGTTGGTTTTCCTTCTGGGAACTCCAGTGGAGAGCAGTTGGTAGGAGCTAAATCTTCAGAGATCCTCTCAAGTCTTCCCATCTGTCCATTCTGCCACTGCTAAAAACTCCCACAAATCACAGGCTTCCTCTAACAGAGCCATTGAAGTGAGCAGAATGGGCCTGATAGAAAATGTTGGAGCAGGAAACCTCTTTGGAGTATGAAAACACAAGGCCTGGTGAGAAGGAGGAGGAATGATTGTCAGGCTTCAGGTGCTCTGGATCTGTCCTCTTCAGGAGCTGGGGCATTGATAGCATTCCCATTGCTTTTCAAACCTCAGGATGAAAAGGGCTGTGGAGATTATGGCTTTTAGTGGCTTTTTAAACCATGTCTTGCCCTAAAATTGACTTTTTTCTCTCTCTTCTTGGCAGCATCCCTTCTTGAAACTGGCCAAACCTCTGTCCAGCTTGACACCACTGATCTTGGCAGCCAAAGAAGCAATGAAGAGTAACCGCTAACATCACTGCCACAGCCTTCATCCTTTGTTTGTTTCTATTTTACAAATCTTTATAATATATGGAATTGTTACACTTCTGGGGGGTGGGAAGGGGTTTCGTGGGGAGGGGGGGAAAAGTCTGCAAAAGGGAAGAAACTCTCATCCAGAAGACACCCAAAATAAATGGTGGTGACTCAAGCGATTCCTGTCTGGGGTCCAGAAGGAATTGAGGACTGAATTACTGGCCTTTTTTTGTCCTTTTTAAAAAACAAAAAATCATGTTGTTTTCTTTTGCAGACAGCCCAGAAATGCCACTTGTTGTGCCCAGGGTTTGAAGGGTTTGTAATGACTTTGCTGTAACAGCTCCCATTCATTGTACCCCTCTGGGTACTTCCAATACTTGAATGACAGATTCAAGCTTTCAGAGAGCAGTACTAATGTTACCTGCTGATCTCTTCTTTCACTCTCTTCTTCCTCCCCTCTACCTGGTTACTTCAAAAATCACTCTTGGAAGCTCCCATTTGACTAGATTTATGGCAAGTGTGACAAATGTGAAAGTACATCTTGCCCCTCTTTGATGGATTAGCTGTTGCTGTACTGTAGAATTGACAACTTGGCTACATAAGAAATTGTCATGTTCTTGAGATGTTCTTGGCTTTGTCAAGATGAATCTGGAGGGAAGGGGAAGAGAAGGATTCAGCTGTTTCTCATATATGTGCTCTGTGGACTTTTTAATCAAAGATGTGGCCTCTTTGTAGAAACTTCCTTATTGGTCAAGTCTTTGGATCTCAGTGTATGGATGTGTGTAGGTAGGGGTCAGATACTTTATTTATGATCAAATGATCAGCTAGAGTCAGGGCAAGAAAAAAATTCCAGCTGTCTTCCTGTCTGCTCCTTTTCTTTTTTTTTTTTCCCCCATTAGACTTGCTGGCCAGAAGCTTAAGGGATAATGTGCTTGATGTGGTGGGTGGTTCAAAAACATGTATCTGGGCTTTGGAAGTTATGCTGGTGCCTTTGACTTTTTTATTTTACATTTTCCTTCTTTGTATCAAATACATTTTTGTATATGTTGTAATTTCCCCCCCCCCAAGCAAATAATGCATCAGCCTCTGGAGTTGTCAGGATTTTAAGTATTAGAGCTATTCTTTTCCAGTTTAGTCTGTGCTCCATTTGTACTAATGACATCAGAAGAAGAAATGGTCAGATCTGAGGACACTGAAGATACAGGCTTTTAAAAATATTGACTCAAACAGAAGATGATGAACGCCTGGAAATGCCCAAGTGCTGTTCTGAGAAGATGAAGGCTGAGAGAGGAGAACAGTGTCATCAGACACTCGTGGGGCTTATTGGACTGACTGGTGCCAGGCTGAAGAGATGGGATGTGTTGTCACACTGATCCTTTCTCACTAAAGACATTGGACCAGCTGAAATGGCTGAGGTCAAACATTCAATGCAAGCAAAAGTGCCTCCCTCTGCAAGACAGTGAGCAACTTGAGCAGTTGGGTTCTTAGGGTGTTACCAGGGGCAAGTGCAGAAGAGCCTGTGCCCCGGCTGCTTCTGGCACTGCAGTCTGTGCATTTCCACTTCCCCAGCAGCCTAACCAAGAGCCAACTGGATTTACAATGTGCCAAATGATTCTGTGAAAGAATAACTGTTACTTTGGTGGGGTTTTGTTGCATTCCCAGTGAGGCAGGAGCTGGGACAGAGAGAGGGTTATGGCCGGGCGTGGACGGAGGACCCTAAATCAAAACTTTTTGCACACTTTTTAGCAAAGATTGCTGGCAGAAGAGTGTTGGTGTTGGTGTAGCAAGAGAGCTAACTGTGCTTTGGGGACTGGTGGCCAAGGTAGGAGGGAATCAGCTTCCTGGAATAGAGGAGGTTATTTGTGTTGCTGGTGGAGGAGAAGCAAGGCTAGGGCCTTGCAGCCTCTGCTGCCCCTCAGAGCTTCTAGGACGTGCTGTGGTACCACCAAGGGGTCTGTGGTGCAAGGCCTTGCAGTGTTGCAGCTCAGCTTGGCTTCTGCTCTGGAGTGGCAGTCATTTCTGTCAGGTAAATGATGCTAACTGCTCTGGCACAGGAAGAAATCCTTCTTAGCTGCACGTGTCAGAGCAGTTACGGTTCTAAATCCAAGGAAGTGTCTCATTCCAGGCAAGTGAATCTAGATGCATTTCCTAGGCATGGTGGATGATGAGCCATGGATCCTGGAACCCATTGTAAGGGAGGTGTCCCTAGCTTGAGTGCCTCAGGTTCCCTGGGCAAATGAAGCAGGTTTGGCTGAGAAATCCCAAAATCCTGTCGTTCCCTCTTTGTCCGTTGCTGGCAATGGACTTTGTGAAACTCCTTGTGCCAGAGTTTTAACTTGGAGCTTTTCTGCCTTTTTTTATTTTCCTTGTTTTGTTGGGTTGTTTTGGTTTTTTTTGATGATACAATCTAGAGAGTCAGAGAACTCGGGATAAATTGAGGTTTTGTTTTTTTTTTAAAGTAGAAACCCAAGAAATCATTAATTTTAACTTATTCTTTTCACTTCTATGGATGAATGAGAATGGTTTAAAACATGTCTTACAAAATTTGCCCAGTTTAGGTCTAGTTAGGAAATGATTTCCCACAGAAGTTACCAGAACATGTCTTGGTGCTTCCTGTGGGACCTGGAATGGTGTTTAGCTCTGAAATCCAAGTGTCCACCTCTCCCCTTCCCCAGGCAGCAGTTTTATTCTTTCTTTATTCCCCCCCCCCCCTTCCACTGCCAGAAATGAGGCCAGAGATGGAACTGCCAGCAGAGGAGAGCCAGGAGGAGGTTGCTGAGCTCCCTCAGCCTCTCCTGAGAAGACTTCAGGTGTGCAGAAGATGGGTGAGTCCTGGGATTTCCTCCTCCTCACAGGATCAACCCAGACTTCTCATGAGAATCCACCATGGCTCTGGGAACGTGCACTTTGCCTCAGGTGTTAATGAGACTAATTGGGGACTTCCCCCCCCAGCTCTGAGGTGCAAAAGGGGTAGCTCGAGGGATCCCTTTGTTCAGAGGGGATGGTGGGTGGGCTTTGGGAGGAGCAGGGAGGTTGTTAAGGGTCTCTCCAGCTGGAGGTGAAGAAATAAATGTCTCTGGTCTGTTTTCCCTCTGTCCCTCACGCTGTCAATGGAAAAGGAAGTAGGTGCAAGCTTTCTGGTTTATTTTTGTAACTGTCTTCAGATTTTAATGTTGCCTTTTGTGTAATTTAATCCCATTATGTTATTTAATTGTTACTGCAATATTAACTACTGTATTTGTTGACTTTGTTTAATAACTGTTCTTTCAGGGCTAGAAATAAACTTTTAAAAAAAAACACATTTGGGTTTTATGACTTTTGTAAGACAAGAGTAACCCAAAAAACTCCATGTTTAGGTGTCTTAATGAGATTAACAGAATGTGTTTGTTTGTAATGAAGGTCCTTGTGCTTTAATGATGATGGGTATGATTTTATAATGTGCTAGCCTATCCTGTTGCTCTTCAAATTTGATTCCTCATCAGTTTCTGTGCCAGCCTGGTGGTCACTGCAGGCTTTCCTGGCTTGCCTGGCAGGTGGTTGCACCTCCCTCAGAATCCTCTACATCACTGATGAAAGGAGAGCAGCTCAGAAACACCCTTTTCACCCCCAGTGGAAAGAGAGACCTCTTGCTCTTCCTGGAAGGGAGCAAAGCAAAGCCCAGCCTGGTTTGTCACACCTTTGTCACACCTCCCACCATCCCCTCACCCTAAGGTGGGCTTGGGTAGTGCCTGCTGGGCCAGTAAACCATGTCCATGGCAAGATGCTGATGTTTCAGTCACTATCCCAGACAGGACTGCTTGATTGCACTGTGAACATCATCCCACATCCTGCATTTATCAACATGATGGTGCAACAAGTAGAAGGAATGAGCTGTCCTGGTTCCTGCTGGGGAGACACAGCTCTTTGTGTCCCTGCTGAGCAGTGTGTGACCAGCAGAGCCAACCAGGGTGAGGATTCTGGGTGTCAACAGCTCATCTACGTCTTGGGGGGGAGATCTTGGTGCCTTTTGGTGTGGGCTGTGGGGACTCACTTGTGTTTTTTCATTGAAACCGTGGGGTGTTGGTACTTGGAGAGCAGGGGTTTTGGCTGGATGTGGTTTGCACGAGGTGGAAGTTTCTAGTCCTTGCTTTGACAATTCCTATTCAATCTTGTACCAGCTGGATCATCCCTTGCATATACTTGGCCTAGAAGAGCAGCCCCATCTTTTATGGTCCATTTATTCAAGATTGGGTATTTAAAACCCTGTTCTTCAAGACGTGGGGGCAATGATTTCTTCTCCCTTTCAGAGCTGCTGCGGGTTCCAGTGAGTTTACCCCAAAGCTGAGCACAATGACTTGCTCTGCGCCAAGGTTAAAACAGGATGGCTGGAAATGGAGTCCCTGCCCCCTCAGGCTCCACCGCCCAATCTTATCGTTCCATCCTGGCCCAGGATTTTTTATCCCAGCCCCAGACTCTTAGTCCCAGCCCCAGACATTTACCCCGCCCGGGCAGGCGGGCGGGCTGTGCCGCTGCCGAGCGCCGATCCAGCCCCCGGGTCAGGGAAGCTGAGAGCTTGTGGGAAGGGGCGGGATTGAAGGCGCGGGCTCGGATTGGCTGGGGCGAGGACAGGCCTCTTGAGCCCTATTGGACGGTGCGTGAATGGGCGGGGCTGGGCCAGAGAGTGAGGGAGCTTGAGGAGCTGGGGGCGGATCGGAACGAAGGGCTGTGATT